ATCTTCAGTGTCATTTTGTGGTATTAGTCGCTTGCTTCCTTTGCGACTGCTCTCGGCATCATCCCGGATTAGTCGCATTTTTTGCAGGGTACCTCAAAGCGCATGTCTATCGAAATGGCGTCATGCCACAAATTACATGAAAATCGTGGACAATTGTATGGTTTTGTTTTGCCTTTTCATTGGAGTGAGAGGAAAGCATTTGATGATGCTGGCGAAATGAAAATGAATGAAGCATAAAATAGGCGGGCTGCTGCATGTTTGGCTTTGACGTACTGTCTGTCTGCCTTACTGCTGATAAGTAGTGGTTCGATTGGAGAGAGAGCTGCAAGCGATGTTAAGCTGGGCAGATGGGTACGAGTCGCATGCAAATACTAATAAACAACTAAAAGTTCCCGACGGTGAAAGAAACCTTAATGATTGAATGCGGCGAATGCAAATGTGGTTTACACGTTCATCGTATGGACGAAGGCGGTTAGGTGAGAGGTGCAAACAAGCGTGGAGTTTATTTAAAGGCAGTTACAATGAGATGAACATAAATAACATTTGATACAAAAAATATTGAAGTTTAACTTGTTGCAGTAGAGGCGCAGCAGAGTGGTAATTTACGAGCAACTTTCACTAATTCGGAAAAATTAAAAATAAAAACAATAATAACAACAAAGTTCATTTCCAATCTGAGTGAAGCAATTTTCGAGCAGATTAAACGAAGTAAACATTTGTTTATATATTTATGAGTGCCCAGTACACGCCAGTATTAGAGGTTAAACTACACTTAAAAAAAAATCGACTACACTTTAAGAAATCTAACTAGAGTACCTCTGAGGTCATCTCATCTATGAGTTTTTGGGATCGCTGAACACGGTACTCATATCCATACGACCTCATTACGTCTTAAGTAGGAAGATATAATTTTTTTCCTACGGATCCTGAAATTACAGAGGTCATTGGCGTTTATGTTTTTGTGGTTGCTATTTACGATCATGGAATCAATATGATTCCTTCACCGTAATCTAACAGTATAGCCAGCAGAATTGAGAGAGATGCCTAGAGCGTCTCCGACCCACCCTCGTCATGACCTACTTTTCCGCAGCGTTCGCTGAGTTGACACGAGCCTCACCTTTCTAAGAGAAGTCCACAACAATTCAAGCGAACTCCCAACGCTCTTTTCTTGGTGATACTGGTTCGAGGAGTCACTTCTGGCCAGTTCAGCTGCCACACAGTTTCCTGCGATATCACCATGGCCTAGCACCCATACAAGTTTGACAAGGTAATACTCCGACGCGACCGGAAGAGAATTTAGGCATTCCCGTACAAGCTTCGAGCGTACCGTAAGCAAGCCCAGAGCCCTGATTGCCACCTGACTGTCAGAGTAGATCCTAACTAACCTAAACGTCAACGCGCGCAAAAGCAAGAGCAAGCCTGAATTTATGGTTGATGGAACTCCTTGGAAAAAAACACCGCCCACCCTTCCCTTAAGCTTCGACTCATTCGTGTAGAAGTTCACTAGTGCCTCCTTCCAACCGCTGACTCCATTCTGACTAGCGCAGGCTTCTCTAGTGCATTCCACCAGACGAGGACTCCATACAACGGGAAAAAACTTTGGAAGAAAGTCATCATCTCTTATCTATGGTATATAAAACTAGAAGCTTTAACTTTCAACTAGAAGGTATTCACAAAATATTTTCCACACATCCAAACATTACTTCGGTTAAATAAAACATTCCACAAAACGGCATACCACCTAACTTACATGTCTAGTAATATCTTACATCTATTCTAATATTCATTTTATGTACTTACTCTCGGCAGTTGAAGAGCCTAAAACGGCCACCAGCAGCAGGACGGCCAGCGTTTGTGACAGCCGCCCCATCCTGGATGTGTCTGGTGTGTTGGTATGTGTACGTATTTTATTCCTGCACGCAATACGAGCAGGATGCTGTTGATATTCCTTGTTTGAGTTGTGGTTTATTTGTCGAAGCTCTCCTTCTACAGAAAGAGAGCGTTGTCTGGAATGTTCAGTCTATGCAAATATGTGATTACGTGAGGAATATGGACGACATTTGTTGTAGTGTATGCACAAATACACACAAATCTAATTCAATTCGTCTAAGTGCTATATGCACTAAATGAGTATGCTTGGGAATAACTTTACACTTATGCAATTTTAATAAATTTGAAAATTATACCTAAATTGAAAAAAAAA